ATACTGAGTTGATTTATTTTATATTTTCCTTTTATTTTCACCATTTACCCATTGATTTTAGATCTTGAATTTATCCTTGGGCAACAGAAAACAACTGAGATACAAGATCAAAGATAAAACAACAGAAGAGTACTGATCACTCTTATGTGGCCAATGAGGATCCACAATTGGTTGTTATAGAAGTGTTGTTTATGGATAAATTTTAGAACAACTCAGAGGTAATATTCCCCGTTGGTGGGATCAAACTGATAATGAGTATTAGTGTATTACTTAAACTGGACGATCGATTAAATTAACATTTCGTGAAACAAATAAAATGTATGGAGTAGCTAAGGCGATTCATTGGTGATTATAAAATAAGGGGGAAAGGGATGAGAAGGGAACAAGGGTTCCAAAGAATGAGAATCTGCTTTAGAATATTGAATTAATCATATTGAATAAGGGTTCCAAAGAATGAATCGCAGAAAAAAAATAGGAGCAGATCCCAACTATACTCACCGATTGCCTAGATCTGGTGTGAAAAACCGCTAATGGTAACAGTGAAGAAGTAGATCGATCCCAAAAAAGGGTAGGAGCAGATCTGCAAAAGATAAAACCAGTCAGTTAGTGAAAAAAAAGAAGGAAGAATGAGGAAGAGGAGGAGAGGAAGAAGAATATGGCGATGGAGTTTGGTTCAGCTCGCCGTTGATTTCGAAGAAGAAGAAGAAGAAGAAGAAGGAGGAGGAGGAGGAGGAGGGTAATGGTTTAACAGTGGTCTTACCTCGCCGGAGGTTGGTTCGGCTCTCTGTTTGGCGATGGAAGATGGCAATGGAGTTCTCCCTGTTCGGCTTTCCCAATCTCTTCGATTGGATTGAAAATGAGGAGGGCATTTTTGTCAAAAGAATAAAAAAAGATATTCATATCCGGAATGGGAATCGCATTCCCTGGGGAGGGGTCGGGAATGGCCATTCCCCCATACGAGGGATTCCCATTCCACCTAGAATGGGAATGGGATTCTGATTCCGCCAAACCAAACATTTAGAATCGGAATGATCCATTCCGATTCCGATTCCAGACCCTTATTCCTGCGAACCAAACGCATCCTAAATTCTAATCTGTCACAGTTGACTACAAAAGGTTCCCACAGTCCAGCAGGTTTTCCAAATGAAAGCATGGACAATGAGATTGTTGTGCTAAACATTAGCAATTTGTATTGTTTTTTTTTTTTTTTTGATAAACTAGTGGGGTGTACGTGCGTTGCACATGTAATGTTTAAGTAACAACTCAGGTAAAGATGTAATGTTTAAATTCAACATTTTTGGAGTACCTAGGAAAGAAATTTCAAAACTCAGCATATGAAACTCCACTAGTATAACATGCAATTCAATTTGTTAGGGGCTATGGAAAATGCTCTCAACACCTAGTTGCTAATGTTAAACTGCAAGTTCCTTAAAGTTCCTATATTTTAACCAAGCCAAAAATTAGTGTTCAAGAAATTTTACATAGAATGTCATTTGATTTGGTAATTGGCATTACTTCTCCAAAATCTTCAAATGGTTTGAATTCAAGTTTTCCATTATGGAACAAATGAGAAAACCACATACTTGACTTTCACAATGAACAAACCAATAGACCTTAAAGATTCAAAGTGCATACCTAGGAATTTCATACATTTTCTTTAAGCATCTGATGGTAGATGTTTTATTACACATTGATCTAACATGTTAAAAGTAAATAGGATATTATAAAACATAACATATACCAAAGTAATTGGGGTTTGCTAGTGGCTAACAATCATTTTTTTTTAATTGCCTCTCAGCACTTGGTTCCTATGGTTTTTTTCTTTCTTTTTTTTTCTTTGGGTGGCTGGGAGGAGTAAGTCAACAATCAATCATTATAATGTTGATACTGGATTCAACTATCAAGTATAAAACCCCCACAATTCACCAGTATATTTGAATGATTATTTTACAAATCATTGAATACACAAATACTAATGAATATATATTTATATAAAATACATAGAAAATATGTGACATATATTAAAAATATATATAAAATATACATATAAATATATATACCGGTCGGTTCGGTTAACCATCGGTTTTTTTATAAGTTAACCGAAAACCAAATCGGTCCTTCGATTTTTCAAAAATTCCGAACCGAAACCAAACTGACTGGTTCAGTTAACCGCATTTTACGGTTCGGTTTTCTTGGTTCGCTTTGGTTTTTCGTTTTTTCATGGACACCCCTATTTATATATAATCTATCTTATAAATCATTGGATACATAGAAACTATATATGGGCACCAACGCTAAAGCATGGTTGGTAATTAGTTAGGCTCATGAAATGATACAAACCTAGATTTTTATTTGTTTATATATTCACTTGTTTGACCCCAAAACCTTTTATAATACTTGTGCAGAGTGTGTCAGTTTTCTTCAGTGAGAAACCTTTATAATACCGATTACCATTTTCTACTAATAAATATATTTTTGTCAAAAGTGAAATAGAACATAACAATAAAAGTACTTAAAAAGAAGAATGTTGGCATTCTTTTAAATGGTATTTTCTTTTTCAAAGGAAAAATTTTATCCATCTTGCTCTACTTACTGGTTTAGTGAACATTATATGAACAAAATATCTTATAATACACTAAAACATTCATTTCATTGATTATTTTAGTGACTATATATAAGCTAAGTTGCATATAATACTTGATTTTAAAGGGAAAACACCATAACAGAGAAAGATGAAGGAAAATGTGGTAGTCGTTTTTTTTTCACCAGCCAGCACCTCCTTGGATGGTTTTATAAGGAGAACAAAAGGGGTTAATTAGGTGGTGAAACCAGTCCAACATGTGGGACAATTCCCCAGTTAATTATAAAGTAAATCATAAAGAATGTTGAATTGAATCATGCACCATATTATTGTATATCATAAAATTAGTTATTTGTTTGTAAAAACAAATAACAAATGGCATTATATGAACAAAAGGAATAGAATTAGTTATTTGTTTGTAACAAATAAAATTAGTTATTTGTTTGTAAAAACAGGTGTCAAGAAAGACACTGGATTTTTTTTGCATAGTGACATACAAAGGTTAAACTGTCAGATAGAATTGGCATGGGTTGGAATAACAAATAGGAGGGGTAGAATTGGTATGAAAAATCAAGGTCTATCAACCAAACTAATTGAAACTTTCTCATTTTTATATATGGTTAATAGAAATAGACTTAGCAATTTGTATTGTTATGGGTCTAATAGATTTGAACTTTGAACTTCTCCGGTGAAGACATTCCATTGAAAAAAGTTTAGGTGGCTTAGCTCTCCCACTACTACAGAGATATCACTTTGCATAATGGAAAATTTATGATGCACAATCAAGACTTTAGTTCTATAAATGAGAGGCCTTCACATTTCTGAGTTTTTTCTTCCCATGAAAAGGGCAAGTTTTAGTAAATCTATTCGATTAAATCTCACTATCTTATTTTTGTCTCTATAGCACTGCTTCCAGTTTGCAATTCTAATTTGTAAAATCATATTCTGACTCTAAAAACCACAAACAGGAACTGTCTACTTTCTTCTGGATAGTTATTATATTAAATTATGCTCAGTTACAATGTTGCAGAATTTCGAGCAAACTCATGCAAAATAAACAACTAATACAAAAGCAATAAAATCAACTCCAATGAGAACAAATTCTGTTTATCATCTGATCACCTTTATATTTTAAATTCAACACTCAATCTTTCGCTATAGGAAAAGTGAGTATACAGCAAATCCGACATCACAATATATTCAAACCAAGTATATAATTTACTGATCTTAAAAAAAAAAAAAAAGCAAAAAGAAAAGAAAAACAGAAGATAGGATCGAACTTGCTTATAATGCAGAACTAGCCTCCCACAAGACCCTTCCCCTTAAGAGACAGAAATTTAGTGAAAGCAAAACAAGCAATCAAAGTCAGGATCTAATCACCTCAAATGCAACGAAACAAACAAGTATTCTTCTGAAAATCATGCACCCAGTACACAGAATACCGAACCTATCTTATAGACTTCATCAATTTCAGAACCAAGACTATTACTCAACCTATCATCTTCCGTACACATGAAAAGACATGAAAAGAGAAACCAGCAAAGGGTTCATCTAAATCCAGATAAATTTCCAACCCACCGGTCACTAAACTTTCCACAGCTCCAGCCCTGGATTGAATGAATGGAAGAGCAGATATACCCACAAGAAGAATCACTCTCCTTTGGTAGATATTGTGCTCACTTGGATTTTTGTACCGTAGAGAAGCCACGACACCTGCATTCTCCTTTTTCTTACTCTTCTTGTTGTTCCCTGCATTTCTTATGTTAGAATACAAGAAAAAAGACGGAGAATAAGAAAAGAACGCAAGAGATTGATAAAGGGGAGATAGTAAAAAGCAAGAGCTCCCCATCACGATGCTCATTGCTTTTGCTTTCTTGCAGAGATGATGAAATGAAACAGRCTCTGCGATCGAAGCTGTTGTAGTTGGTGTCTCTCTGGCTCTCTATCTCCTCACCTCACCTGTTGCTGGGGCGGTGGGGCCTGAGCTTCAGTTAGGCTATGTTTGGTTTGAAGGAAAAGGTAAGGAAAGGAAGGAAAATGTACAAGGTTTTTTTACATTTCCCTTCCTTTCTCTACTTTTTCCTTTAAACCAAACACAGTTTAAATAATTTGCTCATTAAAAGAACAAAGTCATCGGTATGCAAGCTAAAATGCAAAGAAACGGGGAAGAAGAAGAAGATTCAAAATAGGAAAAGGAGCCAATCAATCAAGGGCAAGCCAAATAAAAGAGTATTGTCTTAAATTAACTATACTTCTACTGTTACATTATTGTCTTAAATTATTCTTATTACTTTTAACAATTGACTAACTCTGCACTTACCATTACCATTTGTTAATATTCTATCAAATTCCATACACACAGTTACACCAGGAGAATAATTTTTTTGAAACTCAATTTTATCCTTCACGCATTCTCTCTTTCCTTCGTTCTTTTTTGTTTGTTTCATCATCTCCACCTCACAAGTGAAAACAAGAGCTGATTGCTTCTTACTATCTACAGATATGGCCAGTGGCAGCCCGAATATGCACGTAAGACATGCTCTCGTGTCCTACAAACGCAGCAACATAGAGAATTGTGAAATAAAAGCAAACTAATATGATGTGGACCTTGAACTCAGAACCCAACATTAACGCAGGTGGTGCCAATTCTGAAGTCCGTTTCACTCTCACCCATCTCGGACTCCTAATTACCTCTCTCTCGTTAGGCTCTCAAATGGGAAACAAAACGACAACTGCTCTTCAACTTGAGAAAAAAATGATGACACAACTCGAAGAAAAATCAATAAAATAATCTGATATAAGCTTGTAGACACAAAAACACATGCAAGAACTTAATGCAAAACAAATTGGCACAAAGATAATTTCCAAAGCATTTGGTGATCTAATTCACCATCAATTCATGTATAGGAACGAAGATTAAGTCTGAACTCTTATTTCAAAAAAAAATTGGACAACAAACATATTTCAGCATCACCTTAGGACACTGGTTTTGCCTTGGAGAGATTGAACCAACTGTGGAAATATAATACAAATTGATTGATTAAGGATAAAGTAATATTATGTGAATCTCTTTAGCAAAAGGCAAATGTGCTTGGAAGATGATACATTGGATCCCTTGTGCCAACGTTTCTCAAGTGTCTTTCTCTAGGTATCTTGTAGAGAGGAGACAATGATAAGAGTCAAAATACAAAATACAAGTCAATTGACCATCGGAAATAGTGTGAAGGTTCCTTAACAACAGTTTTGATTGATGGAGTGTAGTGAACTAATTGTTGCTTCATAGATCTTCTTTACTCGATTATCGAAATGGAGAAGCCTGTAGTGGGATTGGCTAATAAATAGGCGGTGATGCTATACC